ATCGTCCATACACCACCACCATACACTACCACCATTAATTTATATAGCAGTCTACAGACATTAAAAAACAAACAGTCTTCTTCTTGCAGACCGCAGACCTTCGGTCCACCACTTCTCCTGCAGATGTCTACAGTAATGGTCCGCAGACCGCAGACCTTTTCCTGCAGAAAAAACAAACACCCCCTAAGTCATCCGGATGAGAAGACTGGCGCGGATCGCTCTTTCTCACCCAAAAGTCTCAGGATGATTAATCCGGAACTGTCAAGCTAAGAGCCGAACTTCTCGAGGTTGAACGGAACTCTCAGAACGGACAAGTGAGAAAAGACATAGAAAATTATCTAAGTTATGAATGAAGGAATTCTACCCGTTGGCAAGGAAAAACCAATCTCTTGGTTTTCAACGCCTAGATTGAGGAAAACTTAGCTGATTTAAGAACAAATGACAAGAAGAAAAATGTGGACTCCCAAAATTGAAGAGCTCGGTCAGAATTCTTGAACAAGCACTAGAAGACAAAATGAGAACGCCACTCAATAAAGAGCTACAGTCTAGAATCCTTAAACATTAGCTAGAAGACAAATTCTATGACAAAGGAATCCCTCTTCAAACAATTGTTTATGTCCAAAAATGACTCCAAGGACAATCCTCAATATTTCCTCCTTCGTTCAAATTAAAGCCAGCAAATGCAACGGTTAATCTATTCCCTTCAACAGATAGATTAATCCACCTAGCCTATATGTAGCTCTTGCGGAAGACTGAAGAAGATACACGAAAAAACGGATCATTGAATCTACCATCATTCACAGCTTGATAAAGAGAGAATTCTAAACTCCTCATCCAGAAGCAAACTCCTCCTTCTTCAAAAAGAGCTATAAAGTGAAAACACTTGAAGGTTTCCTTGCCATAAGTACAACACCACGTTGAAGGATACAATTTTAATCAATTATCTTGACTAAAACGGGGCATATCAACTTTCCTATAAGTTGATCTTGCAAAGTCCTATTGTTGGGACCTTGCAGTTGTTGAAGAAGCTTGACCTACGAAGGAACAACAAAGCCAGCACGAGTGCAGTAGCAATATTGGCCTTGCGAAGATATACCGTGCAAAAATTCACAAAGTGTAATTGTTGGTTTATATTCAACAACCAACTACATAGTGGATTTTGAGGACGTAGAAGGATTACCCCACCTTCGAACCTCGTTAAAGTTTGCGTATCTCTCTCTCCTTATCTTTACTTATTCTTGATTATATTCACTGTGAAACTAACCAATCGATTTTGCTTACTGCTCCAACAATCCACCAACTTCCGCACACAACCTAAGTTCTCAAGAACTTTAGATTAACAACTTTTTCACGATTTCAAAAGAAACGGAAAAAATTTTAAATTTGTAACAAAGTCTATTCACCCCCCCCCCCTCTAGACTTTGTATTTCAACACTTAGGGGACCACCAGCAGTTGAGAAGAATAAACAAAAGAGCCCATACTCACTCACAACACTGTAGCAGAGCATGGATGTGTGATAACTACACATTCCTGTGAAAAACTATGCCTAAATGACATTTCAAATTTTTGTTTTTTTGGGGGAAATTCAAACTTCCCTCCACTTACAGCCCTTCAAAGCTAAAATGAGAATTACATCAGTTTTACACACTTCTATTTAAAGAATGCATTGAATGCATTCATTTAATCCTTGTCTTCTTAACCTTCTTCATGGCTCCTCCTACATCCTCTTTTGACAATCTCCCCCATGTGATTGAAGTCCCTTTTTCTAACCTTATCACTCCTGCAACAGAAACAGAAAACAGTAGCTAGCAAAGGTGGTGTACTAAATCAAAAACGAAAAAGGGTGGTAGATAAGTTACTACAACAATCAAAGAATGGCAAACTTCAGCGAGGTGTCATTAAGAAAGTAGTTGAGGAATTCAGCTTTTCTGCTAAAAAAGTTATCAAAATTTGGGCAGTAGCTACAACTCAACTTGAGGGTGATCCACCCATTGATGTTGAATGCAAAGCCCAAAGAAAAATAGGATGATAGAGACTGCAAGAAGCACAACCTGGACAACGTTGCTAAGACAGCCATCTTCAAGTGACTTGATCCCATCACCTTCTCCAAGATCAAGCATCTCAAGATTGCCATGGAGATATGGAAAGGCCATGGGAAGCTGTATGAAGGATCAGAGGATCTAAGAAAGTAGAAGATTGAAGTACTACTTGAGAAATTCAAGAACTTCAAAATGCTTCCCGGTGAGTCATTTGACTTGTTGGATGAAATATTCCACAAGATTTTAAATAATCTTGCATCACTTAACCATGTTCTTTCTCCCAAAGAAAAGAACGTAAGGTTGCTTAGGTCTCTTCCAGCTGAGTGGTACACCAAGGCCACAACGATGGAAGAAGGAAGAAAGCTGGACAACTACATCGTCCAAGGACTCCTAGACGAGCTCAAGACCTATGAGCACGAGCTGGAGAAGAAGAAGAAAGAAGAACAAGCCCTTCCTTACCCCACAGCGAAGATGACCAATGTCAGAGTCACAGCAAGTGAAGGGACGTGTCAAAAGAGTTGTGACACTCCCTTCACCAGCCAACAACCAAGCTCAAAGGCGGAGAACTTCGAAGAGGAATTTTCCATGATGGTGAAGCAATTCCGGAAGTTCAAAAAGTTCTTCAAAAAGACTGACTCCACAAGAAGGATATCCAAGGGAAAGCTACAGGTAAGTAACTCTCCCCTCGAAACTTATTTGTGTTACAACTGCAGAAAGCCTGAACATTGGAAGTCAGCATGTCTGTACCCAACGGTGGAAAAGTACGGAGAAGGAGAAAGGAACGAAAAGAAGAAGGCAATGGTAGTAGCTGAGAGTGATGAGTCATCCAGTTCCAGCTCAGATGAGGAAGCCCTCGTCTGCATGGAGGGCATAACTAAAAAATCCAACCATGAATACTGTTGGACAATGTAAGAGGATGACACTCTCTGCCTCATGGCCAAAGATGACATGGATCAAGAGGTAACCTCACAAACCTCCTTCTCATCTTCTTATGAAAGCAAACTCACCTCTAAAAGTCTTTTGGACAAGTTCAAAATATACTCCCTCCGTCCCCCTGTATTTGTCCACATTTGACTTTTGAAACTGTTCATCTAAGCACTTTGACTCATCAAATTCTCTCAATGTGTAAGCCTAAATAGAGTCATGTGTGATCTTGTTTGATTTATCTTAACATATAGATTATTAATATATAATTTTTATAATTTTTTAATATACAAATTACAAGATAAAATGGATTAAAGAAGTGTAATGGATGGTGTGTAAAAATGAAAGTGGACAAATACAGGGGGACGGAGGGAGTATTATTTAATTTAAATATTTTTCAATAATGAATTAGGATATAAAATTTTTTAAATGCGATTATGCTGAGAAATTTTTGTGTAACAGAATATGAAATTTAATTTCCACAAAATATGTTTTTTTGTTAACTAATTCTTTAAATGTTACATGATGCATGACATGTTTACATGTCAAAAAAATTTCCCAGTAAGCACGCCATATGCCAAGATTCTAAAAGCTCAACTCTCAAATTTTATATATAAAGATATATATATATATATATATATATATATATATATATATATATATATATGTATGTATGTATGTATGTATGTATGCATGCATGTATGCATGTATGTATGTATGTATGTATTTATGTATCTATATCTATGTGTGTGTGTGTGTGTGTGTGTGTGTGTGTGTGTGTGTATGTCGGTTCACGTGAGAATTCACCTTGGTGAAAGAAATAAGAATAAAGTCCAGCCTTTGGATCTGATGCATCGTGCGGCTCAAATTGCATCTTGCGCTCTGATTTTGAGATAGTGCATTTTCAAAGGATTTTGGTGCATTTCGACATGACGCATTTTCAAACCATTTTAGTACAGATAATTTTGATGCAATCCTGACCCTTAGATCTCCCAATCTAAAGTACCAGATTCATTATTATTTCTTCCACAAGATCGCATTCTCACCAGAGCGTATATATATATATATATATATATATATATATATATATATATATATATATATATATATATATATATATATATATATATATATATATATATATATATATATATATATATATATATATATATATATATATATATATATAGGTTCTGGTGAGAATGCAATCTTAGGAGAGAAATGAGAATGAATCTGGTGTTTTAGATTGTAAGATCTAAGGATCAAGATTTCATCAAAATTAGATGCACCAAAATGGTGCGAAAATGCATCACGTCGAAATGCACCATAAACCTTCGAAAATGCACTATCTCAAAATCTGAGCGCAGGATGCAATCTGAGCCGCACGATGCATCTTTCTCTCCACAAGGTGCATTCTCACGAGAACCGGCCCCTATATATATATATATATAATATTACATGGCTAATATAAAATATAAATCGTAATTTTAATTTTCGCCTAATTTAATTAAAAATTGAAATTACATGGCTAATATAAAATATTTTCAATGCAGTCTTTTTATAGTCAAATTTATACCTCAATAATAGGTCTCGACACACCATCCATTACACTTCTTTATATAGACACACACACACACACACAACCTATTGGGTTTTGTGGGTATAGAGTTAGGTATACTCCGCATTATACATCATCATAATTATTATATAATAAAAATCTTAATTTATTTATTCTACTATATTATTTATTTTGCCTTTAAGTTCTTATGCACAAGTTCAAACTTGACAAATAATATATCGTTGGTAATTGATCTCTTCGTAAGACCTATGCAACGCCACCAATATTAAATATATTATTTTGACTCTATGACAAAATTATATTTTATTCTTTTATTTCATTGTCTTTTTGTTCTTGAAACGATCAAGTCATTAAGTTTATTAACTCAGGTTCATACACAAGATATATTGTTGAACTTCTCATGTCGAGACCTATTATTGAGGTATAAATTTGACTATAAAAAGACTGCATTGAAAATATTTTATATTAGCCATGTAATTTCAATTTTTAATTAAATTAGGCGAAAATTAAAATTACGATTTATTTGAAATTCATCATTAAATTCTAGGGCATTTTTAGAATGTTACATTAGTTGTCCTCGTTATTATACCTCCAAAATTTATTTTGTTAAAGAATTATAATGAATAAATATTGGCGATCGATTTATTTCAATTCTGATTTTGTACGTACTCAATTATCATTGTCTATTACTCGTGATAGGTGAACCTACCAAAGATCGATGAATGTATCGAATGCAAAGGGCACCACTATTAGACTTCATGCTTTAATCGAATGCCACATGTACCTTGAGGATGAAGCTTTGGACGAGTGTCAAGAATGTAGAACCAAAACGCAAATGTAAACCACCTGAAGAGGGATAATGCACGAACAAGCTCGAACACCAAAACCAAGTCAAGTGCATGAATTGAGTGCGACTCGAAATGGGAACAAAACCGACCAAACACAACACGACAAACGCGCTATACCTTCTAATTTGACTTTTGTGATTCGAATTCGAAATCAACGATTCATATTTGAAAAAATGAATACGAAATAGAATATAAAAATTTAAAACTAGAAAGAAAATGAATACGGATATGAATGTTTATGTATTCTATTCAATATGTTAACAAATATATTCGAATTAAAATACCCTGTAAAAGTTTATACACAATATATTTGCTTCATAATAAATACAGAGCATAATATACAAAGTACTCCATAACAAATATAGAGCATAATATATAGGGGCAAGGTTTGCATGTACACACATCCACCGCAAACCCTATTCTCGTGGGATCTATTTAACTGTGTTGTTATTTTGGACATGCCATTTTTAGTACGACGTACTCTCTCCGTTAACTAAAACGGTTCTTCTTTCGTTTTTTTCCTTACCAAAATACCTCTACTTTCTATTAAAAACTGCTTTTATCCATACTAATTGCTACCCAACATATTACATCATAATTTTTAACTAATAATCTACTTATAACATTTTGTTTTTACCTATGACATCAAGGACAAAGTTGGAAAGTCAACTACAAATATACATTTCTTATTTTTCTCATTAGTCAAAATAGGATCAGTTTTGCTGAATGGGTGGTGTATATAGGTAATTTGTGAGGTAATGATTTTTGAAGCTATAAAACATTAAAAAAATTCAAACTTTATATTTTATAACATGATATGAATACGAATCGAATATTTGAATTTAATATCAAATCGAATACGAAGTCATCCAAATTCTCATAGAAAAATAATGAAAGCATTAAACTTTTTACAAGAAGAAATAGATATCTCTCAACCCATAAAAAGCACTCCCTATATGGGAAATCCACATGGATAAAGCTATTTGTACCAGATTTGTACCTCATTTGTACACTGCAGGTGTGCACCAACTTTTTGTGTTGGTATAATACTAATTTTTGTTAATGTGCCAATATTTTGTGTCAGTGTAAATTTTTGTTAACGCACCAACACTTTGTGTCAGTGTGAGCCATCAAAATGTTGATGTATACCTTTGATGTAAGTTTGAGGTATAATTTTTGGTGTAAGTGTACCATGGTTAATCCACATTTCATTTAGAGCTTGTTCTTTAGAGCTTGAACTCTTAACTTCCAGTTCTTTCCAGTTTCTTCCAGTTCCTTCCAATTCCTTCCAGTTCTTCTAGTTCTTTCCAGTTTCTTCCAGTTCCTTCCAATTTCTTCCAGTTTCTTCCAGTTTTTTCCAGTTCTTTCCAGTTTCTTTCAGTTCTTTCCAGTTTCTTCCAACTATATTTATTTTCTTCAAATTCTTTCTACTTTCTGACAAATCATTCTAAAAAATATATTATTATTATTATTACAACTATTATGTTCATAACTATAGTTTATAAAATATTTCATTTTTTCATCTCACTATTTTTAAGATACACCTTCATTATTATTTTTTCTTCAACTTTTTAATATGAATAATACTATTTTTTTGTATATTAATCTACATAAAAAATTTATATAAGGTAAACATCAATATTTTAATCTAAAATATAAAATATGGAATGTGGTGGGGAGTATTACATTATGAAAACCAAGAGAAACTACATTTTGAAAAAAAAATGACCCAATAAGTGTAAAGTAGAAATTCAACAACTAACATCACCAATAATTAAAAAACAAGTAACAAAAAAGTTATACTTTCATTTATTTGATCTACTTTTTATTGTCTCTAATATGTAAAATAGTGTGCATATAAATATAAATAATCCAATCATTTTCTTATCTTAAAAGCTATCATTAAGATAACGTGATGGCACCACCACCACCAACAACAACAACAACCACAAACAACAACAACAACAACAACAACAATAATAATTTATAACAACAAGAATAAGAATGAGAATAATATAAAACCACACATAAAAAATGTGTAAAAGTTTTTTTTTGATTTTTCTAGTTTCTTCGAATTTCTTCCAGTTCTTTCCAGTTTCTTTCAATTCCTTCGAGTTTCTTCCAGTTACTACCAGTTTTTTTAGTTTCATTCAATTTCGAGCTCTTTTTTTCCGGTAGTAAAGAACATCTCTAGCAAATCATAGAATTTAAGCAAAATCAAATTATCAACTTCCGCACAGTAAGTGAGTTAGACGCAGATCCAACGTATAAAATAGACCGTTCTATTTCTGCATCATTTCAAAACCCTCCCCAGAAACCCAATTAAGAAACAAGAACAAAACTTGCAGGCACGAACAATGCCTCCTCGCGCTTCCAAAAGAAAAGCGAATCCGACAAAATCCGCCCCTGTCAAGTCTCCCAAAGTCGATTCTGTTCGCTCCGGTATTCGCCTCTTTTTACTGTTATGTTTTCGGCACAAAGATTGTTTAATTTTTTTCGTAATTGTGATAATGTTTTTATATTTGCTGGATGAGCCTTGGAGAGTTGTAATTGCTTTTTGAAAGAGAGCGAAATTTTATATTGGATCAGATTGGGCTTACGCCGAGACTTTTTGGATAAGATTTTTAGGGTCAAACGTTTTAACACTCTAGTCGTGAATTCGTGATGGTTGTTCTGATTGTCAAACATTTGAAATGTTGGATCTTATGATTATACGAGGGAAAACTATATTGAAAATTATTTCCGGAATTAGAATCCTGCAGTGTTCTTTAAATATTTGTGATGAACTTGCTATACATTGATTTAATCCCCACCTCACTCTTTGTACTCTTATACTCAAAGTCTTACATATGTTGTTACTTGTTCGGTGATTGTTCATTGAATTCTGCTATCACACTTGTCGGCATTTGATGTAAAAGTTATTTTATTTCTTCCTGTATCAAATTTAACACTAAATCAGAAAGTGCGTCGCCTTGTTGATATCCCTCATCTGTAGAGATCATGCTGGTACAACGTGGAAACTCCATCTATGACATTTTATTGCCCCAACAGACATCCAATTTTCCATTGCATTTGAAAGTATCAAACACCCTCCTAGTTTACCTATTTTCTTGAAATATTTGATTTGTAATCAAATATCCAGATTACAGAAATGATATAGATTCATGTTAGCTTTTAAAATGCGTATATGTAGTTCAAATTTGTTGGAAAACCTTCATTAAAACTATATATCTATTTGAAAGTTGCTTTCTCACAACATCTCACAATGTAGTTTAGCCTCGAGCAAAGGCAAAGTGGTATCCAAAGTAACACAGTCCATAGACAACCTTTTCAGTTTATATGCCAACCAGTCGCTTGGTTCAATTGAGTAAGCACTTTCTTTCCTAACTCATTGTATATTCTCCTGTTGTATCTTTTTTATTACCCCTATTTGGGCTGACGATGATATTGATTATTTCCTTACAAGTTAATCTTATTCTCTGACATTAGCCAAATATAATTATTATGGAAAATTGATGGTCTCCAATACTATAACTTATAAGCACACTTCATGTATTTGTGAGTTTTAACCATTAAAACAATTCTACATTTTAAAAATTTCTATGTTTATAGTGAGTATTACTAATTCAGTAAGTACTGCTTTATTTTATCAAGTAGATGATAATTGATCGTGTTCTCTTGGTATTAACTATTAAGGATCTTTTTGAGTTACATACTTCACAGTTCCTGCACGCGGGTACACACACACACCCACTCTCTCTCTCTCTCTCTCTCTCTCTCTCTCTCTCTCTCTCTCTCTCTCTCTCTCTCTCTCTCTCTCTCTCTCTCTCTCTCGCTCTAAAGTACCATGTGATTTCATTACGAAAATTACATATATATATGTCTCGTGTTTAGAGTATAAAGAATCTCTATAAATCTCTCCACCATAAGAAACATTTGTAATAATGCATGAAGGTACACCAAAAATTAAGGACCTCACTAAAATCATTGTGTCTAGAGCTAATCCTGTAGTTGCCAAACCAAACAAAGCTGCAATTTACCAATATTATGCTTTGTCCACTTGTGGGACTTCACTGGGTTTGCTGCTGCTAGTGTTGCATTATGTTTACGTTTTTATGGCCAACAATATATTTAAGTAATGCTTAATAGCGTGAAGGATACACATGTAGCAGTTTTGATAAGCTATGATTTTCTTTTGTTCATGATCTTCCTTTTGCTTTTTGTTTTTCTTTTGTTTTTTTGTTTTTAGAGTCCTGGTTTACTTTGTTTAGTTATTATTGTCATTGCTGGTTTTCTTAAACTTTTTGTTGAATAAATCATTTTTTCTCTTTGAACAGTCCAGATGGTGTTGAGGCATTGTGCTCTGATCTCGGGGTAGATCATACTGATGTCAGGATTTTGATGCTTGCTTGGTATGTCAGTTGTTGTTTTATGGGTGTCTGTGCATGTGATATTTATTTGGCTATATTTTCCTTACACGCAACTGTCCTACGATTCTCAGGAAAATGAAGGCAAAAAAACAGGGATATTTCTCTCAGGTAAAGTACCATGCGGCTAGCTTTTCCCAATGCATTATCATCACATTAGAGTGACTGACATGTAAAAGTCACATGCTTCTTTAGTCTTTTGTATCTATATATCTTCATGTTTTTATTGTTAGTATTGCTTGCTCTCGAGTTCTCTTTGATAAATAGCTTTTGTTTGACTTGAAACATTAATTTCTCAGGATGAGTGGCACTTAGGTTTGAAAGGTCTTCAAGCTGATTCCATTGCTAAATTAAAGAAAGCTCTACCCAAATTGGAAGCCGAGGTACCTTTTGATCTATTCTTTCTTTGTACAGTGACATGATTCATACATTCTTTTATATAATGTGCTTCATTTTGAAAATAGGTCATGATGCCTGCTAATTTTGAGGATTTTTACACTTTTGCATTTCGCTACTGCCTAACAGGTAAGCCAGGAAAATTTTCAATTTGTGTACAGGTTTTACCCAATTGTATTTTGTCTCACATCATATAGTAGTTCTTTCTCTAGACTTTAATTTGTGTGCCTTCTCTTTTTCAGAAGACAAACAAAAATGCTTAGATATCGACAGCATATGTATATTGATAGATCTTATTCTTGGATCACAGTTCCGGGCTCAAGTTGACTCATTCACTGAATATCTTAAGGTTGTATCCATTATATCTCTCCCCATCTTCTGAAGCTATTGACTTGAAAGATAAGATTGAATTACAAATCCCAGGAATGGACATGTTGCCTAACTGTAAATTATAGTAAGTATAGGATCGCAGGAATCATGGCATGATTATGGATCTTATGTTTCTTCATTATAATGGTCTGCATACTGCAGACCAGGGAACATCGTACTTTATACGTACTCTAGTATATCTTTTTTGATAATCCAATCAAATACTTGGAGTTAATTATTTTTATTTTTTTGGGAATGCCAGAGTCAAACTGATTATAAGGTACTCAATATGGATCAATGGACGAATTTTCTCCGGTTTTGCCAAGAGGTACTTCTTATTGTTGCTCTGTCCTATAGTGCGCATTCTTAAAACTAGGTTTTTTTAATGAACTGTTTTTTGAATATTTTTTTGTGTATAATATTTTTGCGCGTGCTTTTAAAATTTGTAGATAAGCTTCCCGGACCTCAAAGACTATGATACGGACCAAGCATGGCCAGTTGTTCTTGACAATTTTGTTGACTGGGTGAAGGAAAAGCGAAGCTAACTGCAGGTTGAAACCACCCCCTCATAGCACCAAGTTTTACGAGTTCGCCATTAAAGTGTCAAAAAGGATTTTGTGCTTGCAGGGATTTTGCGAACTTCTTCTTGGAACTGAAGTACCCTACCCTGCTTTGTGCGTTATGGTTCTACTGAGAATACCATTTTACATTGGTTTGACAGAATGGCGTTACACTTTGTTATAGCTAATTACTCGCATAATAACTATTTTGAGACTGATTCTATGGAATGATGAATTTATATTGATGTTGCATGAACAATGCTTGTTAGCCACATTTCTTGGTCCTTAAAATCTCATTTCTGCTTGAAAATGATGTAACCAAGAAAATGCAGGTTGTTTGCTTATTGCATTTTTTGAACAAATGCATTAGACCCCTTCACACTTGCCATGGCAACCATGGCAAGAAGTTGATGACATACAAAGTTAAACCGGATAGCTCGGCGGGCCATGGGTCACACGGCCCTAGTTTTTTAATGGAAAAGCGGGGAAGTTATTTTTTTTATAATGTGTCCATCAGTACATATGACGCAATTTGGTCGGGACAAACTAGAGACAAGTATTTTGTCTCGTTTTGTCGCATTGTACTCTTTATATAAACCAATAAAGGGAAAAATAACTAAAATAATCTAATTTTTCACTATCACGCGTAATAAGTTAATCTTTGCGTTTTTGTAGGAATTTTGGTCGCTGTTAAGAAGGTACAGTCACTCAATGGATTTCTTTTTAAAAACTTATTTTGTGCAAACAATTGAAAAGTAAAACTATTTGAGTTAATTTTTTCAATTTTTTAAAATTATTTGTTACATGATAAAGCACAATGATGTCATTTGATCCATGCTGTCAAACCCATCTATTGGAATAAGGTTTTGTTGTTTTAAAATTTTCAAAATTTGATTTTATTTTATTAAAAAAATGTAATGGTACACTATCAATTTCTCACTATCAATTTTTAGTTTGTATTTTTTATTTTTTATTTTAAAATTTTACAATTTAATTTTTAAATTTTGGATTTTTAACATTTCGCTAATACAATTAGGGTTTGAAAAGAGCAAAGATTTAGTTTCGGATTACTCTATTGCGAGAAATTGTAGAAAACAATTCCATATCAATTATATTTACAACTTTGTGTTACTAAACAAAGGATTTGCAATTACAATATACTTTTATATTAATTCCTTAGTTATATCAAATAGAAGATTTCGAAGTGAATTAGAATTCAATTCCATAGAATTGAATTTCAATTCTATGTATCAAAGAGATCTTTATACAACTTACTCTAATGAGAGAGATGTGGAATTTTTAAATTTAAATCTTATATTTTAAATTTTAAATTTTATGTTTTAAACTTTTAATTTCAAAGTTTTAAAATTTGAATTTTAAAATAAGAATTTAATTTTTAAATTTTAATATTTCAATTTCAATTTTTAGAATTTAACTTTAAAATTTCAATTTTTAACTTTTAGAATTTAACTTTATAATTTTTAACTTTTAAAATTTCAATTTTTAATATTTAAATTTTAGTTCTTAAATCTTAAATTTTAAATTTTCAGTTGTAAATTTTAAATTTTAAATTTATATATTTAAATTTAATTTTTAAAATTTAAATTTTAAAATAACAATTTTAAGTGTCAAATTTCAATTTTTATTTATTCCGTATAATTTAATTTTTGTCTTTAATTTTTAATTTTAGTTTTTTATTTTAAAATTTTAAAATTTAAATTTTTAGTTATTATTTTATAAGACCCCTTTCTTTGTTATAGCACAAAAAGGGTCGGGGTGATTTGATTTTGGCTTGTTATATTCAAATTTTAGATTTCTAATTCTTTTCTTGTACTATAGATTAGAAAATATGGAATTAGAGTTCAATTCTAATTTTACTTACGCTCGGTTTGATATGCGGAATTTAAATTATGAAATTAGAATTGGGGACAATAATTCCAATTCAGCTGTTTGGTAGCACAATTATAGATTTGGATTTGATAGTGCCAAATATGAATTGAAATTGGAGAATTTAATTCCATCCAAATTAATTCTATAGAATTTATTTTCAAATTCAATTTCAATTCAGTCAATTCCGTATATCAAAGAGACCCTTATTTTTTATACTACCAAAGAACAAAATTAGAATTGGAGTCTTAATTCCAATAACATATTTCGAATTCTGTGTACCAAACGGAACCTAAAAATTTTAGATATGAGGAGATATCAGAATGCATACCTAGTGAGTTCATCAAAAAAAACTTTTAGTTTTAAAATAAATTTTAAAAATTATACTCCCTATGTACGAACTTTAATACTCCCTCCGTCCCAAAAAGTCTTTCTTGTTTCATTTTTTGCGCATCCCATAAAACACTTCTACCGACATTTAAAATGCCCAAAATTTACAACATTTCTTGTTTATTGTGGGTAGAAGTTATTTTGAAACTTTTTTTGGCATTCAAGGCGGGATATAAGTGTTTTATGGGATGTGCAAAAAATAAAACAGGAAAGACTTTTTGGGACGGAGGGAGTAGTTTTTTTTGGGACATCCCAATTCCCAAATACTCATCACACTTCTACTTTTAAAAAAGATCTTGTGACCAATATTTTTTCTTACTCTACACTATTTAATCTCACGCAATTTCATTTTTTTTTTTGAACTTTGGGACAGAGTATTTATTGGATCAAAATAGTTTCTCAAGAAAGGTAAACATTGGTTGTCTAACATAAAAATCCAGACGCCATTGGAACAATTACGGTAGCCCATTTAATACGGAGGTCATCAAGAAGCCAGAAATTAAACCTGCTAGCTAGCTATTTTCTTGGGGTCATTGAGTGAAGGAAAACCACAAAATGAATAAATGGATTTATAGATAATGGTGAATGTGAGGACTTCCAATTCATCCTACCATGATATATAAAAGGGGCCATTCAACTTTGAAACTCTCTGAGGCCTACAACAACTCTAATCTCTTTTCTCTCTTTGAAGACCTTAATGGTCTGAAACGAAGAGAAAGAGATAATTTAACAATAATAAAAAATTCAAAAAAAAAAATATATTACTAATAAAGAAGGTAGCCAATTAAGGAAGATTGGGTAGATTTGATTTGCCCTCTTCTTCCTTCCTTCCATCTTTATTAAAAATTTATTTTTTATTTGGCCTCGATCACCATACCTTAGATTGTTCTGTTGTTCTTGCTCGATCTTCATTTCGGCCACACTCATGGCTTCCAACATATCCCTCCAAGATATTCAAAATGAGCAAGTTGATCTTGTAAGTTTCTTTTTTTTTCTTTATGTATAGACATACAAATAAAAAAAACCTTCCTAAAATGACTTTTTAATGAAAGTGAAAAGGTCTTGCATGTTTCGAGGAAAAAATCTTTTAGGGAATGAGGGAGTATAGGTTTCAAATAAATATTCCATCCGTCTCAAATTGATCTTTCTTATAGTACATTTTTTGGCTGTCTCAAATTAATCTTTCTCTTTCATTTTCTGGAAAGCTTGCGTGGTAATTCACTTTTTTTTTCTATATATCTTCTACATCACTTTATACCACATACTTTCACTTTTCTCAAATAAAGAATATTTAATTTTTTTCCATAAAATATGGTGAAAGGTATAAAAACTTGACTGCTAAAATGCATGCATGGGAAATATGTACTCCGTAATAACGTGTAGCGTAAAAATGCATGCATGGGAAATATGAAATATGTCAATGAGGAAGCTAGCTAGGTTTGAGGATGGGAGTTAATGAATTAATATAAAATTGGGATAAATAAATAAATAGGTGTTTATTAATTTGGAAGAAATTAATTAATATGCTTATGGAGGTGATGTGACCGAGGGCGCAGGAAAACATTGGAATGGAGGAGGTGTTCGAGAGGCTGAAATGCAAGAGAGAGGGGCTGACGGAGGGAGAGGCGGAGGAGAGGCTGGTCATATTCGGGGCGAACAAGCTGGAGGAGATCAAGGAGAGCAAACTCCTCAAGTTCCTCGGCTTCATGTGGAACCCTCTCTCCTGGGTCATGGAGGCCGCCGCCATTATGGCCATTGCCTTGGCTAACGGAGGAGTGAGTTTAATTTACACACACACACACAATAAAAATTTTATATTTTTATCACTAAAATAAGAGTTATAATGGAAACATATAACACCAAAAAGATATTGTGCAATACAAATATCTAACAATACAATGTCAAATTTTCACAATACAAATTTTTATTTTGAAATAAAAACATAGAACACTTATTTTAATATTTTTCTATGTTCTTAACTTTTATTTTAGGTGATTTTTTTATAATTTCAATATCAATTTTTTCAATATAAAAGAAATATTCATTTTTCTTGGTTTTGAACTAAATATATTCGAGTAATAATTAAATGTGATACAATTTGATGCCCCCTCCGTCCCGCTATATTTGTTCAGTTTTGACTTTTGGAACTGTTCATCTAAGCACTTTGACTCATCAAATTCTCTCAATGTGTAACCCTAACACTATGTTTGGTTCAAGGAATTTGGTAGGAAAAGAAAAGAAAATAGTTTTTCCTCATTTTCCTCACCAAAATGGGAGGAATTTGGTTTTCTTTCCTCTTAGTACATTTTGCCTTCTTTTTTTTCTTTTCATTCCACTTTTCTTTTCTTTTCCTCTCTAACCAAACAAGAAAAATATTTTCCTTCTCATTTTCTTTTCTTTTCCCTCTCAAATTTCTTGAACCAAACATAGTATAAATATAGTTATGTGTGATCTTGTTTGATTTGTCTTAACATATAGATTATTAATATATAATTTCTATAATTTTTTAATATACAAATTACAAGATAAAATGGGTTAAAGAAGTGTATTGGATGGTATGCAAAAATAAAAGTAGACAAATACTCTGGTACAGAGGTAGTAATAATTAAGAACTATATACGGAGTATTTCCTATTACTTGTACTTCCTCCGTCCCAAAAAGATGTATACGTTTCAAAAAAATTTCGTCCCACAATCCCTTATCCATTTCTATTAAAAAACCACTTTTACCTCTTACTTTTTCAAACTCTACCTATCACATCATACCTTTTTTCCTAATAATCTACACATCATATCATACTTAAGGGTATTTTTAGAAAATCAAAACAAAATTATCCATCTTTTAATTTTTACTTTAGTCAAAATATGTAAAACTTTTGTGGGACGGGGGAAGTATATGATATTCCAAATAAAATTAAGCGCGGGGTCTGACTGACAGGGGAAGGGCGCGGACTGGCAAGATTTCGTCGGAATCGTAGTGCTGCTCATCATAAACTCCACAATTAGTTACATCGAAGAAGACAACGCTGGAAACGCGGCGGCGGCTCTCATGGCGAATCTGGCGCCGAAAACAAAGGTGCTGCGAGGGGGAAACTGGAGCGAGCGGGACGCCGCAATCCTGGTCCCCGGCGACATCATCAGCATCAAGCTCGGGGACATCGTTCCGGCCGACGCCCGCCTCCTCGAAGGGGACTCCCTGAAGATCGACCAGGCTGCTCTCACCGGCGAGTCCTTGCCCGTCACTAAGAGCCCCGGCGATGTCGCCTTCTCCGGCTCCACCGTCAAGCAGGGTGAGCTCGAGGCCGTCGTCATCGCCACCGGCGTCCACACCTTCTTCGGAAAGGCTGCTCATCTTGTTGACGCCACTAATAACGTTGGTCACTTCCAGAAGGTTGGTTACTTTATTACTTCTCGTTTATACATTGAATTGTTCCCGTGATTTTTCACATTTGACCCAAATTAATTCCTCTGATTCTCAAACAAGTTCAATTGGGCATCCATGCATTCCTCTGATATTATTTTTTTCTTTCTTTTAAGGTGTTGACTGCCATTGGGAATTTCTGTATCTGCTCAATTGGCATCGGAGTATTGATTGAGATTGTGGTGATGTTCCCAGTACAGCACAGGAACTATAGGGAGGGCATAGACAATCTGCTTGTGTTACTCATTGGGGGGATCCCAATTGCCATGCCCACAGTGTTGTCTGTGACTATGGCTATTGGGTCTCACAGGCTGTCGCAGCAAGGTGCCATCACTAAGAGGATGACTTCCATCGAAGAAATGGCAGGTATGGATGTGCTGTGCAGTGACAAGACCGGCACCCTCACCCTCAACAAGCTCACAGTCGACAAGAACCTCATCAATGTCTTCATTAAGGACGCCAGTAAAGAGGTTGTCTTGTTGCTCGCTGCTAGGGCATCTAGAGTTGAGAACCAGGATGCCATTGATGCTTGCATCGTCAACATGTTGAGCGATCCCAAGGAGGTATATGCGTAGTATTTATTCTACTACCCTTCATTTCTTGGTTTTTCTTCTTCTTCCGAATTCCTTTTCAACTAGTGCAAGGATTGACATGTTTTGTTTCTTGTCCCTTCTTTTTTTTTGGTAGGCAAGAGAAGGCATTCAAGAAGTTCATTTTCTGCCTTTCAACCCGGTCGATAAGCGCACTGCAATTACATATATTGATAGTCAAGGTAACTGGCACAGGGCTAGCAAGGGTGCTCCTGAGCAGGTATATATACATCTGATGACATCCATTTAAATAGATTTGTGTTGAAAAAGGAAAGTCATAGAGTCTGATCTCCTTCCTAAACTTTTACCAGATAATTGAACTCTGTGATCTTAAAGGAGATGCTCTGAAGAGGGCCCATGGAGTCATTGACAACTATGCCAACCGTGGCCTTCGTTCTTTAGCCGTAGCAAGACAGGTGAAAAATAAAATTAAAGAGGAAACAGTGAGTTGTTTTGCTTTGAAAGCACTTACTGTCAAAATAATGTGGTCATGTGTGTAAATGTCTTTCTTTTAGACTGTGCCGGAGAAGAACAAGGAGAGTGCTGGATCACAATGGGAATTCGTTGGTCTGTTGCCTCTTTTTGATCCTCCAAGACATGACAGTGCCGAGACGATAAAGAGGGCTCTTGAACTTGGTGTCAATGTGAAAATGATCACTGGTGATCAGCTTGCCATTGGTAAAGAAACAGGGCGAAGGCTCGGTATGGGCACCAATATGTATCCCTCGTCCTCGCTTCTCGGGCAGAGTAATGATCCATCCATTGCTTCAATCCCTATTGATGAGCTCATTGAAAAGGCTGACGGCTTTGCTGGAGTCTTCCCTGGTAACTAACTAACTACTGCCAGCCAACATATTTTGTTTTTTACATGGAACTAGATGGAAGTAACTAACAAAGGGTTTTTTTTGGCTATTTTTCTCCCCTTTTATCTATATATAGAGCACAAATATGAGATTGTGAGGAAGTTGCAAGAGATGAAACATATTTGTGGGATGACTGGTGACGGCGTAAATGATGCCCCTGCATTGAAAAAGGCTGACATTGGAATTGCAGTGGCGGATGCTACAGACGCCGCAAGAAGTGCATCAGACATTGTGCTGACTCAGCCAGGCCTAAGTGTCATTGTAAGCGCCGTCTTGACCAGCCGAGCCATCTTCCAGAGGATGAAAAACTACACCATCTATGCAGTTTCCATCACGATACGTATTGTCATGGGTTTCACACTCCTTGCCCTTATATGGAAATTTGATTTCTCGCCATTCATGGTCCTCATCATCGCCATTCTCAATGATGGAACCATCATGACTATCTCCAAGGATAGAGTAAAGCCTTCACGCATGCCTGACTCCTGGAAGCTCAACGAGATCTTTGCAACCGGTGTCACCCTTGGGACATACCAGGCTCTCATGACTGTTATCTTCTTCTACCTTGCATCTGATACTGATTTCTTCACCGTAATGTCCTTTTACATTTATTTTACTTCATCAACTACCAAACCCTTAATTAACAACTAGCTCTAGCTCATGTAAAAAAAATTATTTTTTTTTTGTATATGATCAGGACACTTTCAAGCTAAAATCCATCAAAGATTCGCCATATGAGTTGACAGCCGCTGTGTATCTTCAAGTTAGCATAATCAGTCAAGCACTCATCTTTGTCACGAGATCACATAGCTGGTCATTTGTTGAGCGCCCTGGAGTACTGCTTGTTGCTGCCTTTTTTGCAGCACAGTTTGTGAGTCTCTCTCACTTCCTCTGAATAACATCCAATCATGAAACGAAATGAAATGGTCTTTTGGGCTTACCTGGTTGAGTTTTCTAATTTGTCTCTCTTTGTTATTCCAAAAAAAAAAAAGCTGGCTACAATTATCGCTGTATATGCAAACTGGAGCTTTGCAAGAATCCAGGGGATCGGCTGGGAATGGGCGGGCGCCATCTGGATTTACAGCATAATCACATACTTCCCTCTTGACATCCTCAAGTTCATGATTCGATTAGCATTGAGTGGAAAGGCCTGGAAATCCATGATGGACAACAAGGTATAGCATCATAGGAGTTCATTTGGCTTTAAAAAAAATATAGATTTGCGCTGCCGTTGAGCAGTTACTTAATAATCCCTCAACGCTGATCATTCTACAACTTGTAAATGCTGGAAACAAAGACCGCTTTCACCTCAAAGAAGGACTACGGAAGGGGTGAGAGGGAGGCAAAATGGGCAGTGGACCAGCGCTCGCTTCATGGTTTGAGTACTGCCCAGGCCCCTAACCAATGCAACGAGGAAAGCTATAGAGAATTGTCTGAGATCGCAGACCAAGCCAGGAAACGTGCCGAGGCTGCCAGGTGCTCATCTATCTGTGTATATACACACATACAAGAGATGCTACATCTAACATTCTATCTGTTATTCTATAAAAAAAATAAAGAAAATAAATCCATTTTGTTGCAGGCTCATGGAGCTTCACACGTTGAAGGGGCATGTGGAATCGGTGGCCAGGATGAAGGGTTTAGATATCGACACTCTCCAGCAACATTACACTGTCTAAAATAGAGCAGCAAGAACATACTAACAAAACACACTCACTATCCAAAAAAAGAGGAAACATCTTCAACTAGCCTTTTTCACATTTTAGCAGGATATGGGATGAGATTTGACGATATATTGGACGATTAAGAAAAGATCTAACCGAGACCAGAAAAAAAGACTCCATTCCACAAGTACATAAAAACATGAAAAGGGGAAAAACTATCATGAAAAGCAATGTTTTTAGTTTGTTATTGTAAAATTACTTTGTATTGCTATGTTGGTATTATAAATATTGTTTCCTTATCTTGGGCTCAATATTTTACTGTGAGATATTAATGGAATGTGTGTACTCCTGGATAAAATCAGTCAAAGTTAAACATTCCGCTCTATTAAGAATATTAGATAGTAATAGGAAATAAATATTATACTACCTCGGTCCCAAAGTATTTGTTCACTTTCATTTTTACACACCATCTAATACACTTCTTTAATTCATTTTATCTTGTAATTTGTGTATTAAAAATTATAGAAATTATATATTAATAATCTATATGTTAAGACAAATCAAACAAGATCACTCATAACTATATTTAGGCTTACACATTGATAAAATTTGATGAGTCAAAGTGCTTAGATGAACAGTTTCAAAAGTCAAAATTGGTCGAATACTCCGGGACGGAGGGAGTATTTAATTATTTTCCTTGTTATATTATTTTCCTTATTGTATTGTTAACATAGTTGTTCTCCTACTATGATTATAATTCTCTCATGTAATCCCAATAAATAAGGATATATCCTTATTCAACAAGACGAATTATTATCAAATTGTATCATGATATCGGAGTTAAGGTTCTCAAAAATCTATCCCTTCTTTTTAGACCGAGCACATCACTGGTGTTTATTCATGACGGTCTATTGCTCGAAAACATGGCGTCACCGACAAATCTCGACGAGATTGCATAACAGCCAACGTCCATTATCCCTATTTCTCTCCAAAAAAAATCAATTATCTCTCTCTTCCAAAAAATCAGGTACGTGATCAAAAAACAAGAAAGTTCCATTTGTTTGTGTTTTTTCTTGAGATCGAGAACATGGAAAGCGATAGAAAAGTAGAGAACAACCCACAAGGAGAAAAAAGAAACTCCTCGCCCTCGCTCTAATCGTCAATGCTCTCACCAAGAAAAAAACTGAGCAAATGTAATTTCAAGCTCATTCGACACGCCATGAAGATCTGACTCTCTACTTCTAGAGGTTATCCTCACGAAACTGATTCTATCAGCTCAATTCTAGCACATGTGCTCCAAGCTGCTTCTCGTTACCGATGATCAGCTTGCGGGAGATATTGGATATAATAGATACACGGGCGGATTTGTTAAGAAATGTCAAATTTGTGTTTAGAGTGTAAAGTAGTTACACGTCCAAAAGTTTAAAACACGAGATTTTGCATGCAATATACCTTAGTCACCTGAGGATAAGATTTCATTCCTTCTTTTTTTTTCATAAGCAACAAAATTATACTATCATCTATATCTAAGTATTTGCCCAATTTTTGACTTTTTGCAATAAAACTTCATAAACTTTGACCATTAATTAAACAAAAAATTATGTTAGATATTGATACAAGAATGATTTTATAGAAATTGTCAATGATTAACACACCTAGTTTATAGTGCAAATAAAATAATGTATTGTATACACAATGACAGAACATTTAAAAAATCTATGGTAAAAATCACCTTCAAGAATTGTGTCTCCAAATGTAGAAAGAGGATGATTGTTAGAAAGGTCATCAAATAGTCAATTTAATTTAGTGTGTACCATAACCATCAGGCCGGCGGATACAATACAAATGTCTATCGACTTGATGAAAATTTCTTGAAAATCTTCAAGACTTATGCATCCAGCGAAGTTTGAAGGTCTTCTTCCTTGGCAATTACCCACCAATTGATCTGAAAACCCAACATTTAACCTTTCGGAATGAATCGAGTACGTGCACGCAAACAAATAGGAAGGTTCATCTTGAGCATAGCATGTCGATCATCTACTTGACCGATGAGAATTGTATGCGACAAATTCAACAATAGTCTTTGAACTTTTAATGGTAGTATGGAGGAATACCTAACTAGGGACTAAAAATTCTTCATATACCAAAATAAGGCTACCGATGTTTTTTTACCAAAATGAGACTTGTAGTGCCAAACTCAAACTTGATAGCTACAAAACTGGATTTGTGTCTTTGTATTCAACAAATTTGCCTAATTTATGCTCCATAATTAATAAATTGCTATCATCAAATACTCCCTTCCTTCTTAAATAAAGTTTAGCGTGTAACTTCATGGACCTTAAGAGAAGTTTTGATAGGTAAAAGATGTGGTTAAATTTTTTAGAAGAGTGAAATGTTGTGAGCTACAAAGTCCTTTTGTTAATATAAAAGTACACTAATGACCAAGCGTAAACTCTATTTTGGGACATCTAAAAAGGAAGGGTTGATTAGGGAGGAAGGAGTATATGTTACAGCGAACAATAACATTTTGCAACGATTTCTAGATTCTATTCAATGTGCAATACTATCATTTAGTCAAGTGAACAACACAACGCTTAACACAGCTAAATATACAACTACCCAAAAAGCCTAAAAGTGAACACAATCAAAATGAAGAGCTAAATAAGGTGTAGGACATAAAACATACCACACAAGCTGAAATCTAACGAAGATGCAGAGTAGATTACTATGAACGCTCAGCCAACCATGGTACGCTTTCTACCTCTTTGGCGTACTGAAATTATAAAAACATCATATACATCATATGAGAGCTATTGGAAATTAGAAGTGGAAAAATAATCATAAGAGGATTTCTAACAGAGTAAAAAAGGATGAAGGGTTACAAAACCTTGTGCTAGCTTATTTAATGTTGAGCACCACTGTTTAGAGGACTTCTTGTATGCAGCAAGGATCTGATCCATCTATTCACATTGTACAGAAACCAGATATTTAATTTCCATAACATCAACATTCAACACCTTAGATATTGTGGTTTATAATGAAAACACAAAAGACCAAAGAACTTTTTTTGTAGCAGAAACAAATCCAACAATACCTTTTCGTTATAATTTATAAACTTCTACTCCCTCCATCCCGTAATTATCTTCCTACTATCCTATTTGGGTTGTTCCAAAATTTTCATCCACTTTCCATTCAAATAAAAAGTTAAATGACCCTTATCATTTATCTTTTCTCTACACAAACCACAAACACATAAATTCCACTTTATTCAAAACCGTGTCAAGTCAAATGAAGAAGAATATTATCAGATGGAGGGAGTAATTGTAAATCAAAAGTTCAAAATAATTGTTATATTGTGCTTGTGTTCGTCCTCAAGCTTATTAATAATGCACATAATACTACAAATAAATAGACATATGAAATAAATGATCTCACTCACCACATTTCCACATGAAGAGTGCATGGAAAGCAAAGCACGTTCTAGTACATACAAATCAACTGCTTTATCTTCTGGAAGTGTTGATGTGGAGCTTAGACCAAAGTCAATGAGTACCTGCCGAAAAAATAATGTTCGTAGTTAATGATCTTTAAGTGGCAAAAATGATAACTTGAGTTCACCAACTTTAACCAAATATACTATGGGTGCTTAGACGACGAAAATGACAACCTACCTAGTAAGAACCAACAAAGTGGGGTTCCGGGGAGGTACTCAGACCTCACCCCAACCACGGCTGCTTAGACATTTATGAGTAAATAAATAGCATGAGAAACAAACCAGCTGATTGGTATCACTTCGTATTAGCATGTTTGATGTTGTCAAATCACCATGGATGAGGCCACCATCATGTAATTTGCCAATTGCATTACCAATCTGAAATGCAATGTCAGACATCATTTTTTCATCGGTACCTCCAAAACCAAAACCAAGGAGGATATCTTTCACGGACGGCCCTTGTACATACTCAAATGTCAAGGAATGCAAAATAGAATCAACAGCATAAAGTACAGGAGTCGCTACACCTAGTCGTCTTGCTTTTGTCATACATCTAGCCTCCTGTTCCAAATGCCTAGATTGGTTAAGGAAACAAAAAAGCATAAAAGTCAACTTCAAGCAATCTGATACGGGAATTGAATAATTAGAGAGACCAACCGCATTTAAGCGTCTTAGAGTAAGTTTCAAGTCCAAAGTTGGATGTCTGTATTTCTTTGAAAACCGTTCCTTGACAATCGATCTCTGACCTACAAATGTAGACTCAAAGATTCTCTGAAAATTAAAAGAAATTTGGTTTTCAAAATAGTCATTGTAAAAACCAAAGAAGAGGAAACAGAGAGGAAAATGGAGGTTTCCCCCCTTCCATACCAATTGAGTGAAAATCCTACAGGTGTATAAAAGCTTTGTTAAAAGAACTAAATGGGATCACAATGAATAGTTATCAAACTTACAGCCTCAGCTCCTTGCTTAATCAAAACAAGGTTGTCTTCTTTTGTGTCTGCTTCATTCCCCATTTGAAAAATCTCTTGTTACTGCATTTATAAACGAAGTATAAAAAACAATTCACTAGAGAATTCCATAATACTCCGTAGTAAATATTAAACAAAACTGTCAAAAATAAAAGAAACAAATGCACATACAATACAATTTTTGAAATCCCAGAAATATCTGTGTAGTGACCAGCATTAAACAAGAAAATTCGTACCTTTGCAAATTATCTCTAAAATAAAAAAGAATTAGGGAAGAATTATAGTTGAGTGGAACTCATACACTTATTTTGTTCAAAACAGTATGTAAACTAAAGGGAGTTCAATATGTACGATTTGTTTAATTCAGTAATCTGTCTTCAAATAATTAAAATTCACCTAAAAATATGTTGAATTTGAATATATGGAAAGGCTTTTTTTGCATCATTTAACACTATCTTCTCCTTGAAATATAAAAATCTATATAGCGAAGATTCTTGAAGTTTAGTTCTTCCAGCTTACAGCACCTCATAATACAAACAATAACTAATTATCCAACAAATACAACCAACTATGTAGAAACATATTTCTGAAACCCTGTTCCGAATTCTTCTTCTGTAGACACTTTTGTTTGAAGAAAATCACACAAAACACAAAAGTATATAATGACAGTAAAATAAACTAAAATAAAAAGGAAGTTTAT